ATTTAGCATCATACAGAACTCGGTACAAAATCCAGTTCCATTCCTCACTAGCTATGTGTCCTCAGGCAAATTTCATAACCATGCTGAGCCTCAGGAGTCCCATATTTATAGCATCAATACTATCTGTTGCGTAGGAATGTTAAGTGATTTAATAGACAAACACACAAATGTAGTATAGGCACTGGAGTCCTTATAAAGTGTAATTGAAGATTTCAGTATTGCAAGTATGGGTTTTTTTAAGCCCTTTGATGCTGTATCTCAAAATACTTTTGCATTTCCTGCAAAGACATGCGTAGGATGATCCTCTTGCTCCAGTGATACTTGCTGGATTTTATAGTGCAGTGCTCTGCAGGCCTCCTCCGTGATTACAGCCTTGCCCGCCCCCAAGTCCACCCTTCTCATTCCTGGGTCATCTTTGAGGTAACGAACACCTGTCAGAAAATGGTCTGGTATACAATGCAAAGCCAGTAACTCCACTAAATTCATATATATTTAAGAAGAATCAACTAGACTTCATTAAGTTGTACAATCAAGAACCTATCCCCGACTAACCTGAGCTTATGGCTCTGTGCTGATTGGGTAGCCCATGTCAATTTTACTAATTAAAAAACCCACCTGAAGATAATCTTCGTAACTGGGACTATTTGTCTTTGGATTGAATCAACAGAAAGCTTCATCTGAGAGGTTGGAGACAGGCAGATCATTCAAATCACAGTATTTGATTCTCTTACATCTCCTTTTGTGTGGTACAATGCATACCCTTTTTATATCCAGGCAATTCATATGACTTTGAGCAAGGCACATACTTAATTACTCTGGGCCTCTATTTCCACATCCACAAAACATCTCTCATAGTGTATCCGCCTCATACAATTTTCATGAGATAAGCACGCACAGTACTTAAAACAGTGCCTGATATATATAGTAGCATCAATATTACTCTTGCTATGGTCAAGATTGTTGTCGTCTTGAGGGAAAAAAAAGTTCCCATAACAACCTGCATCTGTTTACCAGTCAGTAAATCATCTGTTTCTAGTTATATTAAATAACTAGATATACTAATAGGTTGCGGTGATGGAGAAAGAAGACATACCGTAAGGCCCCTTAAATGATTTGTCGAGGGAAGAAGACTGATCAAAAGAAGACTTTGAAGTGACAAAACAAGGGTTTGAATATTTTTCTAGACAACTAATTCATCGTATGACCTTCAGTTGTTCTCTTACCACTTTTCCTTCATCTCAAAAGTGAGGTAACAAAAAAAAAAATGTCTACTGCATAGGTATCTTGGAAAGGTTAACTGAAGTAAGCCAAATATCTCTATTCAAATAACAATACAGACTAGTGCTGTTCTTGGTACTAAGTATGAATTTATTTCCACAAACATTAATCAAAAGCCAGAGAATACAAACAACATTTAAAGAAGATAACTTACAGGACTTGCTAGCTACCCACTCTCCCACATATTAAAAAATTAAAAGATCATCAGAGAAATATACACCTAAACTAAATCTTACTGTTCCTCCTATGGAAAATTTATCATCAAATTACATTATAGGGTGAGGCCAGCAGACTATATTGATGGCCTTTATAAGAAACACCTCTATAAACTTCATTATTCAAATTATACAGAGGCTGCCAAAGACCTTTTTCATTATCTCTACAATGACCTCTTAATAAGAACCACCAGGAAAATTCCTGGTCTGGATTTAGGACTAAAATCAGTAGCGCTTGTTCTGGGTATTGGAAGCTGAAGGTAAATATAAATTTACTGTTTAGAGTCAGTGAAATAGGCCAAGAATGCATTCCTCAATTATTCAAAAATATTTATTGAGCACCTACTATGTGTCAGGCTCTCCACTAGGATCTATAAATGCAATACTAAACAAAATAGGAAATATTTCTGCCTTCACAGACTTAGAGGCTAGTGGGATGGCCTCCACTAGATTACTAGATAAGAATTATAACAAATTGATGATATAGAATGAGCTGGGTACTACATAGGAATTATCACCTCCTTAGGTGGACAGGGAGGTTAAAATAAAGCAAAGCCTGGACCAAGAGAAAAATAGGAAGACCCTAAAAGAAAAACACTGTATGTTGCCATGTATAATGCACTCCCGTGTATAATGCTCACCCACATTTTGGCCCATACTTTTAGGGGAAAAAACCTTTTGTTTTAATTTTTTAATTCAATGTTTTATTTATTTCTATTTAGATACTTGTTTTTTTGTATTATAAATAAATTTTAGCATTTATTTTTGAACATGTTATGGTACAAGAAATTTTATGTAACAAATAATTACAAAACACAAGACCAGATACAAGGTATTTCAGGGACTACCCAAGTATAATGTGCGTCCTTATTTTTCCCTCAAAAATTTGGGCAAAAAAGCGCACATTATACATGGCAAAATACAGTAACCACTTCTGTGGAAATCAAGAGAAAAAAGACACAAGTCAGGAAAAGACTAGAAATAGGTGGATAAAGATAACAAGAACTTAATACTATCTATGTATTTCCTACTATGAGTAAAACTGATCTAATTATATACCTTACATCAGTATATAATAGTCTACATGAGTAGAATTATATTGTGCAGTGTTCATAACTATATTTAAATCATGTCATAGGCTCTTGAGAAAATTGGCCTGATTTTATAACTCTAAATAGCTAAATCAGAGAAGCTGTGAAAGAAACAAAACAAAAAAACAACATCTGGTACTGTTTGAGATATAAACTTAGATATTTAATTCATCATATTGAGAGTCAGATCAATATAAACTTGATTTCTTTCCATCATCACTCTCAAAAGGAGGACTAGGCTATATTGGGATTACAAACCCTTCCTTCAAACTAAATGCAATGGATTCTTTATTCCTAAAGATGCTGGATATTCTGACCAGAGAACTGAACATGTAAGTGGAATCCTGGTATCAAAAAGTTTAACTAAACTGTCAGGAGACCTGTGGTTTAGTCCTAGTCTGTCCCATAAAGAAGTGACATGTGAGGCTTGGAGACAATGTGAGTAACTGAATGAACTTGAAACATCATGTGCTTAGTGTAACAATAGAAGAAGCCAATATTTACTGAAAGTTTACTGTGTAACAAGCACTGGAGCCACATGTTTTCCATGTATTAATTAACAATTAACTCATGAGGTAGGAACTTAGTGTCATTTACAGAGGAAACTGAGGCATACAGAGATACTATACATTTCCAGGTCACGTGCCTGGCGAATTCAAAAGCAAGCAGTCCAGCTCCAGAGCCCCAGCTCCCACCCCTACTTTATTCTCCCAACTCCCATCAGGGAAGCTCAAGGACTATCAGGGTGCAGTGTTTCAGGATACATTCAAATCCACCTTCTCACGACCCTATGATGACATGAACGTGAAGGGCAGTATAACATAGCAAGGACGCCCCATGCCTTGCTTTGCCCAGGACAGCCTCATTGTACGCCCATTGTCTCGGTGCCCACCCAAATCTCCTGTTACTCCGGGGTGTTCCAGTTTGAATAATAAGTAACAGTCACCTAAGCCCAGTGGTTAAAAGCCTGTGTTTTAAAGTTTATTGGGCCTAGGCTCGAAACCTAGCTTAGCCATTAACATTAGCTGTGGGAGTCAATTACTTTGCCTAAATAAGGCTCCATTTTCTCATTTACCAAATGGAAATAATAACAGTGCCCACCTCATAGTGTTGCTGTGAGAACCATAGGCGTCAATGCCTCCATGAACTATGAGTCACTTAGCATAGTGCTTAGCAAACAGTGAACACCCAGTAAAAATTAGCTTTTACCAACATTCGATTAAAAGTTTGAGAGGCTATCTCACATTCGCATAATCATGGCAGACTACTTTCTGAACTTGAGACATTAAAACACACCTTTGAATCCAAAGCACTCAGAAAATAACAAGGGTAAATAAGAACTGCCAAATCTTTCTAAGTAAATCACTAGTATTTCAAGATGTACCAACTCTAAAATTAAATTATAATCCTAAAGCCATTGAAGTTCAGTTTGGTTCTCAGCCACTCCCAAGAGTTTAATCCAATCCAGTCTAGACTCCAAGGGAATCTCACTAAAATACTAAATTTCATGGTTACAGGGAATAAGGAAATGTCCTTTGAGTTCATAATCTCTTTGGAGTCCTTTTTAGTCTCTTGGCCCAACCTGGATTCACAGTGGCAACTTCTGGGATTCTTCCACTTTTAAACACAAGCCACTGACTCGCTCTGCTTTGTATTCAGACCTTGAAAGAGCCCCAAAACTCAGAAAATATCCAGTATATGGCAAGCGCATGGCCACAGACCAGCCCTTTGCCTGCAAAGGAAGTGACCGGCCACATACTAAGAACCTGCCAAAATCTTTGTTGCCTGAGAGATTCTTGGCCATCAGGTTCAACAAACTATTGTCATGGACTTGAAAACACTATATGGCTAGTTAACATATAAATTGAACAAATGACCTATTTTTGTCTCATTTTCTTTGTTAAATAAAGGGGTTAAATCCAGTGAAAAATCAAGCGTTTAATCTAACAGGGTCTGGTTCTGGGCTTCTTAAAAAAATTCCATCTGCTGAAGAGAGATAACCCACTTCTCCCTAATTTGGAACACAAACAAAATTTTGCTTACATCCATAGTAACCTGTCTGATAATATGCCTGTCAACAAGATCTTTGCCTCCACCCTGGCTTCCTCTCCTTATCATGCAAATTGCCATTGGCTTTAATTAGACTTAATAAGTCACTGGGAAGTCCAGGAAGGGAAATGGGGAGCAAAGTTTATACAGTGTAGGCATGTTGAGTACAGTATTTCCCTGGAACTCTCAAACCTCCCAAAAGCTGGGAAAATAAAGAATGCCAAGCATATGGAAAGAGATGCTGCTGCTGCTGTCCAAATGTGAAACGTGGGTGGAGAAAATCATTTAGAAAAAGAGAGTGAGAGAAAAGAGAAAATCAACCCCAAACCCCAACAGCTGCAAATCCCAAAGCATGTGAAGCTGTTACCTTGGATGAACTCTGATTTCCTGCCCACAGAAGGCAGAGTCCTGTTGAGCCCCAGGATCCTGTCCAGGTGGAAGGCAAACACTTCACTCATGTCCAAAGGCTGCTTGACCAGCCCGCAGGGGCTAGTGCCGCAGCCAGGCACAGAGCCAGCAGCACTCCCCTCCAGCACCAGCAAGTGCACTTGGCTGTTTGAGGATACTGGCTGGAAGCCCGCCACAGCACCATCGGCCAACAGGCGCATTCTGCGGATGTCTTCTTTGCTCAGCCATGAGGGGGCGCTCTCGCTGTAGATCCTGATGTTGCTCTCCCTGGCCTTGGGCAGCTCTAAATCTGAACCCCCAACTCGTATGCCTGGACCCCGTATCAATCTCCAGTGTTTTTCCCCAACCTTGGCCATATTTCCTCTCTGGACATACCCGGGCACTTTAGCATCGGCTGCCCTTGCAGCTTCCTGCGGCTGAAGGGATGGTCCCACCAAAGCTTCCTTTCCCGGGGCAGGAGATGCCACTGCATACTTCTTCCTACGCTTTGGTTTCACTGTGCCACGGATATTGGCGGGCTTGCTTCGCTTGGAGCGTAGGGTAATGTACACCACATTGGGCTGCAGGGTGGATCCATTGTCCTGGGACTCGGGAGGGGCCAGGGTACCATCCAAGGGTATCTCAGGGAAGAGTGCCTCGGCAGTGTCTTGGCTCTGGTGGGGCCCCTTTTCCGCTGCCGGTCTGTGCTGGAGCGAAGCGCGCCCCACCTGGCTCACTAGGAAGCCCAGGTAGATGGCGCAGGCAGTGCCCAGCAGAAGGTTCCTCCGGGTCCTTGGACGCCGGCTGCTCCAGAGTTTACACACCCGTGGGACGCAAAGAGAGCAGATGAACCAGTTTATGAGCTGCCCTGGCCTGTCTGGACAGGTCATTTCTCTGCCGCATCCACATGTTGAACAGAGTTTAAAGTCTGCAGTTGTCTCCTGGTGACATGATGCATGGCTTCCTGAATTCAGTTGTCGCCTCTGCGTAGGTGTCTAAGTGGTTTCCAGCGGGTAGAGATGGAAGTAAAAGGTTGGCAATGGAGCTGGGAATGTTAGTGACACTCACCACAACAAACCTTTTAAGCTCCTATCAGCCTCCCCGAGGAGCCGTGCGGCTTGTTTCTGGGAATGAATGGGAACAGAGTTAACTGAGTCACACTCTCATGGTAGTTAGGTTCCTCTATGAGAGTAAAGGGAAAAAGTAACTCTTTCCTTTCATAAATATCACCACTGAATGTTTTTATTTTTTAATGAAGGGTAAAAACCAGAAACAAGATAGATATATAAATTGATATTCAGTACAAACTCGTGAGAACAAGCCACAAAAATCCAAGAATATTTTATAACTTGTAACTAGAGTCATTTAAGTCTGAAGGAAAAGCATTAAAATTGGACAAATCCAGTCTTTTCCATTTTGAAATTCAGAAATAATTAAAAATAAGTTAGATGGTTTTTAAAAACCTATAGCTATTCCATATTTATTTTTTAAATCCACTAATTAGTCAACTAAATAACATTCAAATTGAGAAATATAATCTCTTACTCTAACACTACAATATTTCTTCATAATGTTCCATTACCCCTCATTAATAGTTATTTTAATATAAAGCCATAAATGCCCATATATCTTGAAAACAATTACATTATTGTCACACACCCACACAGAAACACAACACACAAATCCGACTGCTTTTTACTCCTTTTCTTTCCATGAAAGAAAATAAAAGGATCCCTTGCTCTATTTTTTCATATTGTTAAAAAGAAGAAACTGTAAGCAACCTTACTTACACAGCTGGCCCCATGCTTGGATCCAGAAACAATGTAATCCCCGGCGCTAATGCAAAGAACTTTTAAAGGCTGAGGCATGTAAGTAGAACATATTTCATGGTCAAGAGTGTTCCACATTTCAAAATATTTCAGCTCGGGTTTAAAGGCTCCCTTGAAAACTACTGATTACAAAGCAAAAGAAAAACAAACACAAAACCAACCCTGGTTGCTTACAAACTGGCTGCTTATATCCCAATTTTCAGACAGGTAATTTTTTTAATTGTTTAGAAAATAAACTTTAATTTTAAATTCTGCAAAAGCAAATGCCGTATAGAGCAGTTTTCATTCAAATAATTTTCCACTTATTTTTAACCCCTGGGAGCCCTCTAGTGTCCTGTTTGGAAACAGAAGTGTCAGTCTCAGGGTTGGATTGAGAGTGTTTGCTTAGCCACAGAATAAATACCTTATAAAATGAGGAATGCTGTCACCTCACCCGCTGTCCATCCCACTTAGCTGGGGATCAAAGCCCCAGGGCTCCCAGGACTACAACTCACCTTACTGACTTGACCGTTCGCAGAGAAACGTTTGTCTCCCACCCCTTCTGAGAAGGCCTGGAGGTTCAAAAACGGTGAGAAAGGGTTAACGCAAATAAGGAAAAAAATAGAAGTGAGATAAGGGTGCACACAGATAGGGAGAGGCTTTTGGAGTGTGCAGTTGCAGGGAGCAACAGTTCACAAAAAAAAAAAAAAAAAAAAAAAAAAGTGGTGGATTCTTTCTGATTGGAGGTTTTTTTAAAAACCGGTTAGTAATTGGCTTAGGTAGTTTGCTTGTCCTGGCACAAAGGCGAGGGTGGATGACCTCCGGGCCTCACTTAGGCTTATTCTTTTCGCTTCCATGGCAAATAGAAGCAGGAGAAAGGGGACAGGATTGTTCCCCCCCCAGAAAAGAAGTTTGTGATACCAGAGGGTGTGTAAGAGATCAGAGTATGGTATACAATCCTAAAAATATGTCTTACAAAGCAAAAGAGGTTAACGAGTTGTAATCTATAGAGAAGAAAGGAATGCACTTCCAAGTGATAAAGTGACAGCAATTGTAATAGAGCTGTTTCGCACTCTGAAACTCAGGCCCCTCGTCCCCTGTAAGTGTTCTGCCACCTGGAGGAAAGAGAAGGTGCAATTCCAATATTGACTGAGCCTAGAAGTATCTGTTCATTTGGGATAAACTTCCTAAGAATTCAAGCACCAAAGCAATTTTCTTTGTGATCCAAAACCCTTAAAGCACACTTTCATAAGCACAGACTTATTTTCTAGATAGTAACTGTTAACTTCTTGAAAGGAAACCATAACAGAACTATTTTATTATAACTCTTATTGTTTTCACATATTGAGAATATGAAATGACCTGACTCTTTAAAAATTAAAAACAAATCTTTGGCAGAAGCCAGGCTATAAAAAGCAGAGGCCTCTGCTAACTGTTTATAAAGCAACATTTTTAGTGGAAAATGCTTAGGAAGTAGATAAGAATTATATGACTTGGTAAATTTGGTTGAATGCTTTTTGCCCCTCCCTCCGTCCCCACCCAGATGTCTCTTAATTAGAAGGGCAATACATTGCTTCCCCTTCAAGCCAGGACAGGGATTAGTTGGAACTGAAGGCTGTGTTTGCAGAAGGGACTCCAGAGGAAGAAAGCCTTGGCTTGCCTCCTCCACTAACTAGCTCAAGTCCCTTGTAGCAAGTAATTTGATCTCTCTAATCCTCAATTTCCATCTCTAAGAGAAGACAACTAACACCACTTACCTCATCAGCTTCTCTGATGATTAAATGAGATAGCGGTGACAGAATGAGAATCAGGCAATCGGTTTTTATCCTTCTAAAAGCCCCTGAACAGTCTAGACAACTACACTTCTCTATTTCAACTGTGGATGCTAAAGGGCTCAATACTCTGCCTCCCACCCCCGCTCCCTGACCACACACACAGAACGAGGACAGACATCTGGCCCAAGTCATTCCTGGCTTAGGATGGAATACCCCAAGCAGCAGGGGTTTTCAACCTGCAGAGAGGAATAAAGATTGGATAAAGCTGTCTTGATTCTTTGGCTTCTTGCAGGAAACTAGTGCAGAACTACAAATTATCTCTTCTCTCTTCACCTAAGGCTTAGTTTGTGTAAAATAAATAGGCTGCAGAGTATATTTAAAGGAAGGAAGGCTCTTGGTTGTACTAGATTAAACCTGGCACATTAGAAATGCATTGGGGTTATAAATAAACACCTTCAGAGTGCAGGAGAAGAGGTAGAGAAACTCAGGGTCCTTATTTCATTCATATCTAGTAGTCCTGAGACTCAGTTATGTCCCGCACTATGAGTTAGACATGTGTGGCATATGCGGTAAGTTGTTGGGATGTGGAAACCACACATGCATGTTTTATGAATTGATAGTGAACCAGGATTAGAAAAAACAGACTGTGTTAATATCACATACCCAGCCCATCCACCCGTTCCTACTTCCCCAGCTTGTAAATTCAAGCTCCAGGAAAGAAATATAAGCGAACACTGGTGGAGAAATTTGCCTATATTGGGTTGGCCAAAGTCCATATGGTTTTTTCCATAAAATAAAAGATATGTTTTTCATTTTCACCAATAATTTTACTGATTTGGATATTTTGAGTATGTTGGCTATCTCTCACATGGTGTAATGTCGATAGTTCTTAATTAACATCTCAATTTGATCGCTGTCAACTTTAACTGGTCTGCCTGACCATGGAGTATCATCCAGCAAGAAATCTCCAGCACAAAACTTCACAGACCACTTTTGACACATTCAATCAGACACAGCACCTTCTCCATACACCACACAAATCTTTTTTTTTTTTTGCATTTCAGTTGCATTTTTACCTTTCTTGAAATAATGAAGCATAATATGCCAAAAATGTATATTTTCTTCTATCTTTAATATTAAAATGGCTACACAAAAAAATTCACTAATTTTGATGGGTTTTTTAAATGCATGCTGATATGACAGCTGTCACAATAAAATCTAACAAAATTGTTTTGAATAAAGTTAAAGACAACTAAGTGCTACTAGAGCCATTTGCAGGGGAAAAAAATAAAAACCAAACTTTTTGGCCAATCCAATATTATTCCATGAGATACGGAGACACCAGCAGCCCGCTTTGGTTTCCAGACGAGAAAACGCGATGCAGGGTCAGGGAGCGTCCCAGCCTCCCCACCACTTTCAGGTGTTGGCTAATTTGGAAGCCAGCAGAGAGTTACCTCTAGGTAACTGCACAGACAGAAAACATCCACAGAGAGGCTAGTGTGTGGTAACCAGAAATGCTGGTTACGGCATGTAAGTGGCAAGCCCTGGCATCCTTGTGATACGGTTGAGTCCTTTTGAGAGGTGATGGAGGTCTTGCTTTATGCAGGAGAGAGTACTGTTCAACGCAGTTTGAGTCACTCCCACTAAAAAGTGCTTGGTACCCATAGGCTGGTGGTGCTCGGGAAAAATGTAGGGTTGCACAGCCACTTAGCATTTATTATAGTCCCACTAAATGCCAGTCTAAAGCTGGGTTCTGTGGGCAGTATACAGAGTCTGAAGCACTGCTTGGCTCAATAATGTCTCAATAAATACTGAATGAATGAACAAATGAATGAAAAGTAGTCCTGATATATAAAGATGATAAAGCACAATCCCTAGATCAATGGTCCTTGAAATGTGGCCCTGAACCTGCAGCATCAGCTTCACCTGGGAATTTGTTAGAAATGCAAATCCTTGAAACCTACCCCAGACCTACGGGATTAGAAACCCTTGGAGGAGAGGCTCTGTAATCTGCATTGTAATAAACCCTCCAGGTAATCTGATGCATGCTAAAATTGCAGAATCCAAAAGATTTGCCCTAGAGAAGGAATTCCAAAAAGAGTGAGGCAGGCCAGGAAGAAAATAGGAATATGCCAAAGGAGGAAGGATATTAAGAAACTAAAAAGTTGTAGAAAAACTCAAAACATTATTTTCAGTTTACATAAGACTTCTCTGCACCTTTTCCTTCTTTATGAATGTTCATCTTCCCTCTCAACATTTCATCCATTGGTTGGAGAAGACAGAATATGTTAGTATCACATACTCTGAGGAGCCAGCCACCCTTACCTACCCAGCCCTATAGATTCTATTCCCTTTCTTAAAGCAAGGTCATAGCGTGCAAATATTCAGCAAAGGAGAAATTTGAGAGATTACAATGAACAACCCATGGAATAAAAGCCAGGAACACTCGTAGTTGGGTGTGGAAGGGCTGTCTAAGGAAAATTCCATAAGAAATAAAATCCTCTACAGGCCATTCCCAGTTCTGCATTCATAAAGATGCCTTTTATAGGAAAATCACACTTTTTCTAAAAGGCAGTGAGAGAGTTCTTACAGTCACATAATATCTATCATAGACAAAAATTATAAGCCAAAATGCTTTGTTAAGAAACCTGGTATGGGTTTTGAAATTAAAAAGATGAGCAGATATAAAGCATTTTAATACGTAGAAGAAAGTTAAATGTTTTGATAAGAAAGAACATGTACATTTCTCTAAATATAACACACCTCACTTGTTTTTCCACAGGAAATAACCAAGGCTTTGGTTAAGAATGCACATTGTTTTGCGGTTCTTTAGAGAATGAAGACAACCTTGAGCTAGTCACTAGCTCAAAGGCAACACTTGTTTTATCTTTGCAGTAATTTCTTACAATATAGAAATAGCTAAGCAGTATAAGAGTTTATTACAATAAATCTGCATTTAATTCAGTTAAGGAATTTGTAAACAAAATATTCTTACTTTAGTGAGTGCTTTTGGCAAGTGCTATAAACTGAATGCTGTGTCCTTCCAAATTCATATGTTGAAACTCTAATGGCCAGTGTATCTGGAGATGAGGCCGTTGGGAAGTAATTAGGTCATGGAGTTGGAGCCCTCGTGATGGAATCAGTGGCCTTGTAAAAAGAAACAAAAGAGAGCTTGCTTCCTCTCTCTCTGCTCTCTGCCCTGTTAGGACACAGCAAGAGAGCCATCTGCAAACTAGGGAGAGGGCTGTCACCAGAACCTCACCACGTGGGCACTCTGATTGCAGACTTTTTAGTCTTCAGACTATGAGAAATAAATTTTTGTTGTTTAAGACATCAAGATATTTAGTTTTGTTGCACTTTCTCATCAGAAAAACCAGATTATATTTAGTGCCCAGGTTGTTCTAAAAACTAACTATGTATTATATGAAAAGCACTTAGCACAGTGCTTGCTTGATACACAGTAAGAAGGAATGTCTCATTCACTTGCTCTCCTTTTCCGCAAGGATGATGCTAATGACTTAGCACTCCCTAAAGAGACCATAAGAAAACACTGATGGATAAACTATGATCAAAATATAATTCCAAGCTCAAGAAAGAGTTGTCAGTTGTACTGTTACTAAATGCAGCAAATTACTCAGCATTTGTTCACTCTAGCCTTCTATACTTAACAAAGGACTTAAAAGATAATCAAGACTACATTCTGCTTGCTACTTTGGATTCAACTCTTTGATAATTTTGCCTTTGATATTTAGAATTAGTCTACAGTAACCACTGTGAGGCTGTATATGTGGTAAACTGGGTTCTTGACAATCTACAGTAGATCCTTGAATGGCATAAGTTCATTCAATGTTATTTTGCTATAATGTTGATGAG